CTAAGTAGAGAATTCATCAACCCCTTTAGTTTTGTACCTCCAAGGTTCTGGGTAGGCAGAGAGAGCAATGTAAGCAGGCTACCGTCCTTTTTTCTGTCCTCTTCACCAGCACACAGTGCAAGAACTTTCACCTCGTTCTTGTCCCTGTTGCACTGAGCGGAAAGAGACAAAATGCATCCAGGAAGAACTGGAAAAGAAACCCACACATTGCATTGGTTACAGTAGTAGGACCACACATTTCTGCAACGCTACAGTGTGTGACAGTTCTTATCTATTTACACTGATGTGTGCTGTAATTTAATGTTAATTTATAATATTTTGAAAGGAGTAAGAATAAAAGCATTTACCTGTGTACCCTATGACTGAAAACATCTTGGACGGCCTAGCTTCTAAGACATAAATATGTGAATCTGAGCCACTGGTGAAAAGGTAGTGCCCGTCATGATCAAAACTGTAAAAGTAAACACAATTTTATTTGCTTTTCTGAGCAGAAGTGGAGAAGAAGTTACCCTCTAATTCATGCTTCCATGTCACAAATATAAGACAGAATAATTTTGTGTGCAGTTTTTAACTGAAATGTCCGTGAAAGCATCACAAAAATGGAAGATACTTGCACTAAGTGATCAAGAGCACTGTGGTAAAGGAGAACCTCGTGCACCAGGCGAGGCCTCTGCTCCTGGTTTAGGTCAATGAAGAGAACTTTTCCTGTAGTTGTTCCTACAGCTGCATAGTGTGCAACAGGACAGCAGGCCAGACATGTCACCTAAAGACAAAAAGACTTGTGTTTTTTCTTAAAAATGTCAATTTTACACATTTTATATTAAAGTGCTCTGTCCTGTAAGTTCTCCTGGTGGCAATCTGACCTCCACTTGGAGTGAGAGAGAACTGATGCAGATGCCATCTGAGGACCACAGCTGCAATTCTCCAGACTCCTTCGAGGACTGCAACCAATGTAAACACAAACATCACTGCTCATTAAGAGACACAGAGCCAAATTACAAGACGCCGCAGTTCTTGAGCAACACAGATGCTTTACCACACAAATGCTCTTGTCATTGTGCAAGAGAGTTGCTGTCACAAAGTTGCCGCTGAGAACATCAAAGATCTTCACAATCCTGTCTGACTGGGCTGGGTTCAACACATATATCTGCCCCTGAAAAGCAGCAGGTGTCAGAGTTTGTTCTTTTCTGTCATGTAACATATTATTATTTGGAAATTTTAGGCTATATCATGTTTTTATGCTCCTGCATGCTTAAGTACTTACTGTATTAGAGGAAAAAAGTAATGTTTTATAGTCAGGAGAGTACATCACAGTTGTGACAGGTCTTTCTAACTGCCATGTTTGTGCAATGTTTATCTGAGTCCCTTTGATTTGCAGGTGTACCACGCTCTCCTGCAACACAGAACCATATTAAATTGCCTGATGTTTGATGTGCTTGTATACATTAATACAGTAACCATTGAGTGGGCTTGTACCTTTCCTACAGCAATCAAACCATTGTTGTTAGGAGTTAAACGCTGAAAGCTGTTTCTTCTGAGTTCAGGGATAGATTCAGCGCCTGAACAAAAATAAAAAAAACAAATAATATGTCCAATGTATTTTCTAGTCTCTGAATTGGGTAAAAAATATCTTCCGCATCCAAGTGTGGGTTTGTTTACTTGTAGGATTGAAAAGGACAGAGAAAGAGTGGCTCTCTGGGTCAACAAGAAGCAGGAATCCTTCAGCACAGCCCACATAGAGCTTTGAAGTGGCTGTCCAGCAGATGGCAGAAGGAGTCAGCCTGGCTCTGGTGCTCTGGTGGAGTTTGGCCTGTGCAAACACATGTAGAGCTGGGTCATGGAAAACATAATTGTTTTATGGATAAATTAAAGCTCTAAAAACTGCAGTTACATCACACAAACTAGAAAGTTACCATAATGTTGCTGACATTTTGAGAGGATGGTGCCTGGCTCTCACTAAAGGTCCCACCAGGTGCTGGAAGCTTAATTGTACTGCAATATGACAAATATGATATGCACATATATGTTCTTATTTGACTCTTTAGTTTCCCCACTTTCTTTCAACCTTCCATGCATTTGCAGCAAGGCTGAAAGAAACTTAAACACATGCATTTGCTGTATTGCATTTACCTCGGTTGCAGGACATGAAGGCTGTCACTCTTTGCAATATTCCAGACAGTGAGTGAAGCAGTGCCCAAGGAACAAAGCTGAAGCCAATTCATGGGGTTGAATGCCAAGGAAACGACATCCTGTCCAGCTTGTGGTTGAGAACAAAGTGGCTCAGCATTTTCCCAGTTCCTGCATCAGAAGGTTATGATTACTATTACACTGCCGCTCAGCCCGAGTAACTGAAAACACATGGTACACAGTATAGGGCAGTGTTCTGCTTTGAGTGGCTTACCACACAGTAATGATGTGGTCAGGAAGAGAGGAGAGGGAGCCCAAATATGGACCACCGTGGCTTAATGCCAGAGATGTGTAGTCCAGTTGTGCTCCTCCTAAAGAAAGAAAGAAATGAATGAGCAAAAGTCCAAATCTTTGGCAGGATTACAGTAAAAACGTGGCAGTTTAACAGGTTAAAGTACGTCTGCCTTACCCTTAAGTTCATTCTTCAAATGAAGCTTAGGGAAACTGTACACATATATCGACGGGGATAGCTTTTCCTCGGAAAAAGCAAAAATCCCACTGTTTCCGTTGGCTGTCAATGCACCAATGCCTCTGCCAGGACTCGGAAACGCGTTTTGCGTCCTTGTCTCCAAGTTCAGGAAACATATATGATTCCCACATGTGTAGCATACTGTTTTATTGTCAACAAACTCGGTATTTTTGTTTGCGAAACCTTGTATCCACCTGTAACAATCCAATATCAGTTAATTGTTAACAAATAACCAATGTCATAATTGCAGCGACAACATACCTGAGCTCTAAACTTCCAAACTCGTTCATTTTAAGATTAAAAAGGAAAAAAAACCCAAACTACGCAGTGTTTATAAGTATTTTCAACCGGGAGAGCGTTATGTAACCATAGTAACCCGCCTTTCACACTATTGGCTGAGGCGCTGTTTGACACGCCCACCACGGAAATAGCATATAAAATTAATAATCAGCCATACTGCTACCATACTAGCCATACTGCTACTTGGGGGTGATACTGCTTGCTCTCTGACTTTCTTCCTCGGTCAGGTGTAGTCGGTCACTGTTTCGGCTCTTCGTCTACCACTTCAAGTGCCAACATGTCCACTGAAAAATGTTTCGCTAACGGTAAGACCTACGCTGTTACTCGGCTAAAACTGGAGGCTTTCTATTGATGAATTTTCCTCTGCCCTGAACTGATTAGTGGGGAGAATTTAGGAGGTAACGGGATACAACACTAAAGCTAAACGCAGATACACTGTAGTTGCAAACAGCCTATTTAATGGACTCATTTTTAGTATGTGTTATCAAACGTGTTGTGAAATAAAGACTAAATTAAGAACATACAGCTGCCAGTCTACAACTGCATCACATTTTCTGTCTCAGCTATGACGAAATGCTAAAACATAAATTTGCTGTGTCCTAGGTCTAACCCTAGTGAAAAATAACTGTGCAGAAATAACAGAAAAATAGCCCAAACTAAAAACTTAAAGCAGTAATACTTGACAGTTTCTTCTCGGAGTGGTTAATGAAATCAAAAAATAACTTGATGAATGACCCTCAGAAGTCTTTCCAACTCAGTATTTTTTTATTCTAGTTTTTAAGCTTTTCTTGTTTCTCTCAGGTAGTGCCGCACCTGGTCCAGTGCCCAAAGGCCACATTAGACTGTACAGCATGAGGTTCTGCCCTTTTGCCCAGAGGACCAGATTAGTGTTGAATGCCAAAGGAATCACGTAAACATGCATTTTATTAAAATTGATTTTCACAAATCTCTTCCGTAACTCACTGAAAATAACATTGGTACTTTTCTGTTTCAGATATGACACCGTCAACATCCACCTGAAAGACAAACCAGACTGGTTTCTTGAGAAGAATCCTCTTGGTCTTGTCCCAACGCTTGAGACACCTGCTGGTGAGGTGATATACGAGTCACCCATCACCTGTGAATACCTGGATGAAGTTTACCTTGAAAAGAAGCTGCTTCCCTCCTCTCCCTTTGCTAAGGCTCAGCAAAAGATGATGCTGGAGCACTTTTCCAAAGTATGTTGCATGAAAACTTTAATAAAAATGTTAAGGGTTTGGTTTTTGTTTTTCAACCATCACCAAATAATTGTAATGTCACTATTTTCTACAGGTGACACCATACTTCTACAAGATCCCAATGGGTAAAAGGAATGGAGAGGATGTCTCTGGACTGGAAGCTGAACTGAAAGAAAAATTTGCCAAATTAAGTAAGGTAGGTAATGTATTTGAATCCCGTATTTTCTTTGTACATTAACTCAAAATGTAATATTACAGCTTGTAAAGGCAAAAATGTTCAATCATAGGACCTTGCTAACAAGAAGACCAAGTTCTTTGGCGGTGATTCCATAACAATGATTGACTACATGATGTGGCCTTGGTTTGAGAGGCTGGAGACCTTTGAGTTGCAACAGTAAGTAGCAGTCTTTAAGTTTAAAGGGTGTTTAAAATGAATGTTTAACTCATACAATAATTTAAAGAAACTTGAGGTCATCTGAAGGGAAACTAACTATACAAAGGTTTAGACAAGAGAAAAAAGAGGGATTCCCACAGTGACGGAGCACATTGATCAGTGCTATTTGTCATTGTTCCTTTTGTGAGATCAGAAGGGTATGCTATGAAGCAAGTGGTATACTTCCAGGCTTTCTTTGTGTTTGTTGGCTTGTCAAAACTTGAGAACCCAGTGAGACACTACACGCCTCACAGTGTTGGATTAAAGACAGATTTTCTGCATTGCGCTCAATGCACAAAGGGGGACACATGACATAATTTCGCTCTTTCACCACACAATGTGGATCAATCGAATGCGGCCTCCTTTTAGTCATAGACATTATCACAGCTGATAGGGATCCATAAAGAATCACTATAAAATCCATATAATGGCAAAAGGAGCTCCAAGTAAAGCAATGCTGCAGGGAAAAGCAGATCTTAAGAACTCCTAAGTTATATTTATTTTGCCTCTTTAAAATTGAAAGTGCAAAGTGAA